CTTGTAATTATGGCCCAAATATTATATAAAAAGTCAACTTTTATGATGTAACGTAAGCCTAATTTTTACGGTATACCTATTCATTATTTAGACTGTTATTCAACTTACGTACCTACTAATGAATAAACTTATTTATGGAAGAAATACATGCGCTCTGTTATGAGCCTCAGAGGATTTGGGTTTTTAAAAAAGAACACGAGATTAATAGGATAAGACAGCCGTCTAGTTCGGATGGTGGAATGAGACTGACTTGGAGATGCGAGGTATCGCAGGCTATGGATGGAAAAGGATGAGTCGGCAAAAGGCGGAATGTCAAGTAAGCAATATAGGGTGCGAGGGCTATCTGTAACACCTCCCGGGGGTAGACTAAACATCGGGGTGAAATGAGCGATGTTTAGGAAAAACGGAAAAAGGTAAGTATTTAGATTTTACACATTTCTGCGTATACTAGGAGATGGGATTTCTTCTGCATCAGGATGACGTTTAATGATCTTCAAGGGAATGGCTGGTTCGGGAGTTGGAGGAGCTGGAGCTGGTTCTACAGGTAAGTTTTCAGGATTGGCGCGAGAGGATCTCGGGAAAAGGTAAGTTAGACGGCTGCGCGATTTAATGCATAAAAACATTTTTAAAATGCAAAATATTAAAATTATACATATAACGATTATGAGTGTAATCGAGTAATGAGTTTCGTATTTAATAAGGGGATGTTGATTTAAAATTTTATCAGTTTGGTCAGATATCGACCTTAATTTTGATTTCGTTTCCAAAGTAAAAACATCTAAATCAATATTTTGTAATTTCAAGGGGACTTCATCATTACTGATTACATTTATAAACTTATCTAGGGTACAACAAGATTGATTTATAATATTAAAATCTGGTTGAATTACAGTAGTGTTGATTTTTACATTATTAAATTTAGGTATTAATTTCGTACTTTTACAGTAGGCTATACAATTGTTTGGTATTGTAAGTATTCCTGTGCCAATGATACTTATTTCTAGGATTTTCTGATTTTCATCATCATCATCATCATGTCAGCCATAGGACGTCCACTGCTGAACATAGGCCTCCCCTAATGCTTTCCACATTGATCGATTGGTAGCGGCCTGCATCCAGCGCTTCCCTGCTACCTTCACGATGTCGTCGGTCCACCTTGTAGGTGGACGTCCCACGCTGCGCCTTCCGGTACGCGGCCTCCATTCCAGAACCTTGCTGCCCCATCGGCCGTCAGTTCTGCGCACTATGTGCCCTGCCCATTGCCACTTCAGCTTGCTAATCCGTCGGGCTATGTCAGCGACTTTAGTTCGTTTACGGATTTCCTCATTTCTGATTCGATCTCGCAAAGAAACACCAAGCATAGCCCTCTCCATAGCACGCTGTGCAACTTTGAGCTTCTGTATAAGGCCTATAGTGAGAGGCCACGTTTCCGAGCCATAAGTCACCAAACCTGTTGATAGCTCAACCACAGATCCAAGAGCTAAACTAACTCGACACTATACCGAAGATATCCCGGACATCAGCCTATACGAGATTAGGATGGCTCTCAAACAGCTAAAGAACAACAAGGCACCGGGTGATGACGGAATAACATCGGAGCTTCTGAACGCGGGTGGAACACCGATACTGAAAGTCCTTCAGAGACTCTTTAACTCCGTCTTACTCCAGGGAACTACGCCAGAGGCATGGAACAGAAGCGTGGTGGTGCTCTTCTTCAAGAAAGGTGATAAGACCTTGCTGAAGAATTACAGACCCATCTCGCTTCTGAGTCATGTCTACAAACTGTTAAACTGTCGCTAGCTCTTAGTCTAAACATATTGACGGTTCAGTGCGAATAGATTTCAACAGTAATATATTATCAGCTATACGAAACAATAGGACCACTGAAACAATGAGAAATTATTATACTTACAATGTATTGTATGACACTCTACCATTATAAAACAATATAAGCTAGCTGAGATCAGAAAGCGGATTGAGACATGCCAAGTCATGTCGATGAAAAGTTTATCGATAGTAGAGCCTCTAGCCAATTTAAAGTTTTGATTTTGTGATCGCTTCGCCAAGGTAAAAAGTTTACGACGGGAACTTTGTCGAAAAAATTAATAAAACAAATTTTTATATGGTCTAACACATAGTAAAGCTTTACGTTTCAGCCAAGATTTCTTTGATGTGCTTAAGATTTAGTATTTAGTTAAGAGCGTTGTAGCAAAAAGTTGGCGTTCGAATTTTAGGTTTTTATTGCTTGACGTCGCGTAGTGAGTGCGCAAACTGCATTTATCTGTACAATTTCAACGCTGCGTCGACTAAACGATCTTAATCCGTAGTTGTATCGTACCTAAGACAGTACCTCATACATAATAATAAAGAAATAATGTATAATTTACCTATTTGATTTTTTCTCAGATCAGACTTTTAGCAAAATCAAGTTACGTAATTAATGTATTTTTTACACTTGTAACACTCACTCAAAGCTCACTCGTGACACAAGCATATTTAGCTTAGTACGAGGGGCTAACGGGACTATTAGTAATTTGTGTAATAACAAATTACTAATAATCTTTTAAAAAAAAAAAAAAAAAAAAAAAAAATCCCGCGACAAGTTTTTAATCTTTAAATTGAGTAAAGTAATAAGTTGATGGGTTTGAAAGAATTTATGTTTTATTTTATTCTTTTTACAGCATCAAAAGCTTGTTTATGAAAAATATTTACTATTTAAATTTTACTTTTGACTTTTTAATTTGAAAGAATTTATGTTTTATTTTATTCTTTTTACAGCATCAAAAGCTTGTTTNGTCATTTACTATAATAATATGATAGCTTACCAAAACTTAAACATTATCTTGATCAGTGTGGTAGGGGCCATGTGTGTTAAGGCCGGGTAGCAGAGAAAATGGCGAAAATGAGGTTTTCATTTTTCATTTTTGAGGTACTAAACAGTAAAATTAAAGGCTAAGATTTTTATTGGGCATAGTTGAGGATATTTTCTAGGGCTATTAACGGATGGAAACACGATTTGATGAAGTTGACTCGATAGAATAAATTCCCAAAGTTACCTCTATTCGTTTTCTATTTATGGTTTTATTTTTATAGCCTGACCAGGAACATAAAAACCCTCGCCATGTTGCGGAAAACTAATGGTACTAATTTCTTTTAATGGCAATAATAACTGAAAACTTCATTGACATGTCACCTTGCATGTCAGTCTATTGCTGTCAAAGTGTAAACAAACTTTATTTTAAATGTGCGCAATTGGTTTTATGAATTGAATTGCTAAAATATTTTTATAGTCGTGAAAGAAAAGTGGTTCACAATGTGTTGAAGTATTTGTCGAAGAGAAATACTAAGGGTTCGGACAATATTTTCATTGAATAATGTTTCCGACAAAGGTTGTCAAATTGACTGACATGTTTATCGTATAGTACAGTCCACTATGAAAATTAGCTGTGGTTTGTTTCAACTACCTATTTTAAAATTTTTTGTCACTTTCTAAGTGTTGAATTTTATGGGATTGGGAAAGAAGTACCGAGTTTGAAGCGTTCATGAGCAGACATTTAGCCAAAAACATGGCAGATGCAGCATATATCAACGGATTTAAGACTGGACTGGCACCACCTTGCAATGTCATCCTCTCATTGTTATCTGTAATGTAAATTATTTTTAAAATGTATTTAAAAAATAAAATGTTCGTTTTATTATTTCAATAATCTGACCTCTCATCTCAACTACACTACACAAACACCTTTGTTCGCAACTGTACTGACAAAACCTCGATATTATACCGTTCATTTAAGATGGCAAGCTTTTTGCTGCGGTAATGCACTCCAGGTAACCGTGTGTGATGCTTATTGCTCATAGTGATTTTCGATACAGAGCCCCGTACATACGTTATACATAAATTATGGAAAGAAAACACCCAGACCAATACAAACAAATACGTATGCAATTTTAGTATGATATTTTTATTTATTAATAAACTTAAAGACTGAACAAAATTGATGCGTGTACTGATTAATGTAATTAACCACATGCAAATCTTTGTGAATTGCAACAACTATAATTTATTATCCAAGCTCTAAATAATCGCTACTACTAATAATGTTTTTCCAATCGCTCAAGCTCCCGAGGATCTACCGATAGGTCGGGTGACGTAATCTTGAAATTCTTTTAGCCGGCGCGGAACTTCCGGAAGGTCCGGTGACGCCACGCCTCTTTGAACCGTGTTTACTTTGGCAGTTATATTCTATGTTTACTCGATTCTAAAAATATATTCCCAAAAATTTTGAAAGTTGTTTTAATTTGTATCACTTGGATATGATTTGTATTAGAAAGTGCTGTGAGTGTGACGCTTGAACGGGAGGAAGTCAACCTAACCTAACCAACTGCGTATTTCCAAACTGCGTATTTCTATACTGTGTAGCCGCGAGAGCTCTTTGGCGCGCTGTCTTCTTCGAAGTATTGCGCGCGCAGATTTTGACAGCGCGAAATACCTACTTTAGCAGAAATACCAAGCCTTAAGGTATACAATTCTATCCCGAACCATATTAAAAACATACCAAATTCAAGCTTCAAAAGATCGCTTGTAACATGAATGACATTGACATGAATTTTCATAGAGTTCATGACATTCATAATAATATGAGACATAATAGAAAGAAAGAAAGAAAGAAAGAATGATTTATTTGGCACACAAAAAGAAACAATAAATCAGGACATTAATATGGAAATAAAAATAAAAAAATTACAATAACAATAATAATATAAATGTCTATAAAGGCGATGTGCCAAAAAGGACGCCCACTCAGTATATCCAGCCAGCTAAATGCATGGCTGGACACTGATTTTCAGTGGACGCCTTGGGCGTATGGGCATGCTGTGTTATAAAACTAATCAATAGAACGAAAAAAATAAAAAAAAAAAATAAAAAATAAAATAAAACAATAACAATAATGAGCTCCAAAGCGTACAACATAATAAACAATAAAGATTCAATGTCAGTNCTATTCATCACGTCCGTCTTTGAGAAACGTTATTTCCACGTGTTGCCACGTACCTAGTGAGAACAAGACGCATAATGACCCGCCACTCTCCATGCACCAAGAACCTGTGAGACTGAGCCTTCTACACGGCTGTCGCGAGTTACGTATTCCGCCATGGCGGCGACAGCACAAACGAGGGCACAGCATGAGTTTTGGAAAACTCCACGGACTGGCCGGCGCATCAATCCATCCTCAGCTGCCCACAGTTCCGGAAGGTAAACAAAATAAAATACGTCCCTGTCTCTTTGCCTTGTTAACCACTGTCACTTGAACCTTAAGCGTGTTTGTAACTTTCAGTGCACTAAACGGTGGGGCAAGCAACGAATAGCCGTGAATTTGATCGAGCCACCCCCGTGTGCTTACAGGCAGCATATGGGAAAGAAGGAATCCGCAGACACGGAAAAAGAAAAAGAGCACGAATCCAGAGGCGGGCCAGTACATCTATGCCCCCCTCAGGCGCCGCGCAGATCCGAGAGGTAAGTGATGATATGTCTGCCCCTCATCGGCCTTTTGTAATGATAATAAATGACTCTTTACTTTAACCTTAAATGTATTTTTAACTTTCAGTGCGCGCAGCGGCGGGGGCAAGTCATTCCAGCAGCGAGAAGCGGCGAATTTGAACGACCCGCGAAAGGCAGACGTCCGATGTCTAGGAGTTAGAAAGATGTTAGTACAAGAACGCTTCTTATGACCGCAACGCTCCTGAGACCTCATGAGCCTTGCGGTCATAAGAAGCGACATGAGCTGTCTGATAGATACCCAGGCCGTGAGGCTGTGATAATTCCGAAGAGCATGGTTGCCAGGTGCAGCCTACGGCGCGCTGCCATCTTTAACTGATTGGCTGCATTCAGGAATGGGGTCACGTGTGACCTAGGTGGGATATGGAAACAGAAGCGCGCGCATGCATTCTGCACCCTTTGCAAGAGCCTGGATGATCTACCCAGTAGACAAGGGCCATAAACTGTGTCACAATAATTGAGTTTTGATAGGATAAGTGATTCACATAATGTCTGCCTGAGTTCTATGCTTAAGTATGGTCTTACTCTGTACAACAGTTTCAGTCTGTAGAAACAGTTTTTGACACATTCAATGATATGGCTCTCGAATCTTAATTTGCTATCGAACACTAAACCCAGGTTTCTGACCTCTGTGACTCTCTCTATTATTTCGCCATTCAGTTCCACTCCCAGTGTGACATTATCCAATTTAGAAATATTTTTAGGAGTACCTATCAGCATCAGTTTAGACTTTTTGGGATTCAGAACAAGACAATTATCCGTACACCAGTCAGACACACCCTTCAGCTGCATGTTAAGCATGTTAATAGCATATGCGTGGTCGTCTGGCCGAAACGAAAGGAACAGTTGCAGGTCATCTGCATACAACTGATATTGGCAATGTGCAATATGTTCCGTGATGTCGGCACTGTACAAAATGTACAAAATAGGGCCTAATATAGATCCCTGGGGTACCCCTCTTGTGACTGACCTCGGACTTGACTGCAACACTGACCCGTCCCTCAGCTTCAGTTCGACATATTGTTTCCTATTGGTCAAGTAGCTGTGGAACCACCTCACAGCTCCGGCCTCGAGGCCGTAATAGCTGAGTTTTGACAATAGCAATGGTATGTTTATAGAATCGAAAGCGCGAGAGAAATCAAGCAATATGAGGGCGGACACCATGCCCCGGTCCTGAGAAGCAAGCAGTCCATCCACCACATCCGCCAGAGCAGTTGCCGTGCTGTGACCCTTACGAAAACCAGATTGCAGAGCAGGGAGCATATTGTGTTTTTCAAGGTAATCAGTCAATTGGTTGCACACTATCCTCTCCAAGACCTTGGACAAACATGGAAGGAGACTGACAGGTCGTAACTCCTGCATTGATGCTGGCTGGCCGGTCTTAGGCAGGGGCTTTACCACTGCTGTCTTCCAATCGTCAGGGAACACACCTTCAAGTAATGAGCGGTTTATTATTGCCGTGATGGCCTCCAGTGATTGCGGCAGTGTCAGCCGCAATACGTCCAAAGACATGCCGTCGCAACCCATTGCGTTTGAACGCAGGCCTTTGATGGTATTCATTACCACTTCCCTGCTCACCGTACTTAATGTAAATGATGCCGACATATTAAGCCTATTATATTCAAAGAAAGTGAGCTGCGAAATACTTGACTCATCCTGCCCAGGGACGTTCAAAAAATGAACATTCAATTTGTCAGGGTCATTAAATGCGGGAGGCAGCTCATTTGAGTCCCTTTTGTTTGGCAATATGGTGCTCTTAAGATTTTTCCACAACTTCTTTGAGTCCCTGTAATTGTTGTTTATGTGTCTGTCAAAGTAACTTTTTTTTTCTTGTTCAATTGCTGCAATGACTATATGCCTCATCTCCTTGTAAGCTTGCCTAATAGTTGCTGTCCCGTGCTTCTTAAATTTTCTATGGTAGTTATCCCTAATGCGCATCATAGACTTAACGGTGTCAGTTATCCAAGGGTGAGGAGGGTGCCTAAATTTCTTACCATGTGATTCACATCATTGAGACTTCCAATATTATTCCAATTAATTAGCCCCAGATCTTTATCCAGTTGCTCCAACACAATACTTTTTAGTGGCCTGTACGTCACCCACCTAGGACACGGCTTTTCCACCTCCACCTTGACCTCCGCTAGTAGCATCGCATGCCCCCCACGATCAGGTGAATGGCTCACCGTCACCTGTCCCGCCCGCATGTCAGTGCACATCACATCGATCAGTGTGGCACTGTGATCAGTGAAATGTGTCGGCTCACCAATTAGTTGAGAGACACTCAGGCTTTGTGTGAAATCAGTGAAAGCCTTACATTTAGCACTATCACTATCAAGCAGATCAATATTAAAATCACCAGCCAGGAACACTCCGTCCACCCCGGAGAAAGAGGTAATTGATTCTGTTATAGCCTCAAGGAATACGGACACGTCCTGCCACGGAGGTCGGTAGGCGGTGCCCACCACTATCCTCTGACCGGGCAGCCGTACATTCAGCCACATCTGCTCCACAGTTGCCGTTCCAATGGGATGCTGGCTAATCTTGAAATTCAGACCCCTACGTATATAAAAACCGACCCCGCCACCCCGGCCCCCCCTGACATGGCCAGGTCTCGGAGCGTGTCTGAATTGGTACCCCACCAGTTTGGGAGCTCTGTCATCCTCTCCCGGTCCCAGCCACGTTTCGTTTATTGCCAATATATCCGGTGTCAATTCCTCCACCCCAACAATAAATTCTTCCTGTTTTGTGCACAGAGAGCCTGCGTTGTAAAGGCCAATTAATAATTTTTTTAACCCCAGGCCTGTGCGTTTGATAAGTTACTCACGTACCATAGTGCCGTGGTCACAGATGTCATTACCCTGGACTCAGTATAAATTAATTTATATAGCATTAAGAATTTGTTTCTAATGTCATTATAGTTAATAATTTTATGGAAATGTATATGAATGATATAGTTTGACTGGTGTACACACCTGATAGTACAATGACCATCCGATACAGTGCAATAACATAGCCGCAGAAAGATTAAAAAAATGTATTGACTCTTTTAACAGTTCAGAAGTAAAACACCCAAACGTACTTACAAACACCGTTTATTTCTGTACTCAATATTCGTGGAGCAGCAGAGATGTTGACGCCTCGGCGATCGCAGCGCAAATAGGCCCGATCAAGATGGCGGACGCGGGACGTGACATCAAACTCGTAATGCCTACCTAATAAATCGATTCATAATCGATGAATCGATTTATTTATAAATAGTAAAAATGAACGTAATAAAAATAAATGATAATTTATTTATGATTGTTAACAGTCGGCCATCCTGAACAGACGGCTGTCCCAGACGTCAACCTCTCTGTATTANACTCTGTCTGTATTCAGAGCAACATTTGTACTGTAACATGAAATCAAAATTGTCTACATTGCATACAAGAAGTTGTGGAATGATGAGAATATCTGACAATACAACCAACACAACAATAATTGATCTATTGTGTGTATGATTTATCCTATGACTTACAATTACTAACACCTTACAACAATAATAACTACAATAAGGCGGCCCAGGTAATAAAGTTTTAAAGTATGACAAATTTATTTTTAAGTTGTAGAATGTGTGACTAAGGCCTCAGCCTCGAACTTAGCGGGCAGCGGGGCGGCGGCGGCGGCGGCGCGGAAGCGGCAGGATCTTATGCGTAAAATCAAATGGACCGGTTCTCGAGCTGCCACCGCCTCAGCCGACCAGAGCTGCCACCGCCTGCCCACACAAGGAGCCACCGCCTCAGCCGACCAGGGCTGCCACCACCTCAGCCGACCAGGGCTGCCACCGCCTCAGCCGACCAGAGCTGCCACTGCCTGCCCACACATGGAGCCACCGCCTCAGCCGACCAGAGCTGTCACCGCCTCAGTCGACCAGAGCTGCCACCGTCTGCCCACACAAGGAGCCACAGCATCGGCCGACCGGAGTTGCCACCGCTTGCCCACACAAGGAGCTACGGCCTGAGTCATTCAGAGCTACTACCGCTTGCCCACACAAGGAGCTTCGGCCTGAGCCCACCAGAGCTGCTACCGCTTGCCCACACAAGGAGCTTCGGCCTGAGCCCACCAGAGCTGCTACCGCTTGCCCACACAAGGAGCTTCGGCCTGAGCCCACCATAGCTGCTACCGCTTGCCCACACAAGGAGCTTCGGCCTGAGCCCACCATAGCTGCTACCGCTTGCCCACACAAGGAGCTTCGGCCTGAGCCCACCATAGCTGCTACCGCTTGCCCACACAAGGAGCTTCGGCCTGAGCCCACCATAGCTGCTACCGCTTGCCCACACAAGGAGCTTCGGCCTGAGCCCACCATAGCTGCTACCGCTTGCCCACACAAGGAGCTTCGGCCTGAGCCCACCATAGCTGCTACCGCTTGCCCACACAAGGAGCTTCGGCCTGAGCCCACCAGAGCTGCTACCGCTTGCCCACACAGGGGGCTTCGGCCTCAATCCAACAGAGCTGCTACCGCTTGCCCACGCAAGGAGCTACGGCCTCATCTCGAAACCGCCTCGTCACACGTGCAGTTCAGCAGCCCATCTCGCTTCAGTTCATTAAGGAATGGGATAGGATAGGGAAGGAATAGGAGTAATGAGGACATGTTCCCCTAATTTAGCAACTCTTCTATAAATTATATGACATCATTATATCCAACTTACGTTATAANGACAACGCTCTTATTACTACCTACCTAAAATAAAATTAACCTACTTTTAGAGATGAACTACCTTTAGCGATGCGATGTTGCATCACATCACATAAGGAATACGGAACTGCTTTTAAAAAATTGTTTTAAACTTTTATATTAACCTTCACCAACGCACAACAAGGAAAGCATAATATTATTCATAAATATCAAGATATATATTATTTCCCTGTGCTGATCTTACGTTCGTAATATAGAGCCGAACCTGTCGATATAATACCTGCTACATCACTCGGAACAAGATCGCAAATGATTTATTGGATTCCTGTGGCACCACAATGGTATCGACAGGCGCCGACGCTATCATTGAATATTTCATGATCTTGTCTGACCCAACTTTCACCGAGGTGATAATAGACAGTAAACAATTGCTGCTTCTTGTGTGGGTTTTAGCTAGACAGATTGACAGTAGCTTATGTTGGTAGTTGGATTTGTAACCGTTGCAAAACATTGTTGTTGTTTTTTTCCCGGTTAATAAAAGTATTCTTTAATCCACGCCTTTAACAGTTTTATTAACAAATCCTATTTAATTGCCTCTCCAATTTTCGCAATAGGCACGTTAATGAGTTGTCAAAACCCGACTCTACTATTACTCGTAGATTGTGTAGCAAGGAAAAGGGGTATATTCCGAACTCAATTGCTTCAATTTATTATTACAATTTTATTTGAACTTACAAAACTACATAGAATGACATAATCCTTTAAAGAAGTGCCTTTTAATTATGAGCTACCCAATATACCTAAATGCTTAATGTAACTTTTTATCTAGTAATAGTACTTGTCCCATCTCTATTAAGCATAGATTGATAATATAAACAATAGAGTCAATCCTAAAATAGATTTGTTAATCTGTTACGTCCATTAATCTCTGCTGACAGTCGTATTGCGGCCAAAGCTGGCTCCGGAAGTTATCAGCCACCCGACTGATAAATATAATTTCAATGTGATTTGTGAGGAACAATTTGAGATTTGTTTATTCTTAAAAGATAATTGACGTGAATCTTAAAGTAGATTTATTTCTACACCTTATCTAATGTAGCACTAGATGGTTTGTTCAAACATACCTCACAGGCTTAAGTTTGCAATTTTTATTTCTATTAGCTTGTAATAAGTTCTCTTCTAGGTTTTCCCGCGTCGGAAAGTATTTTTAACGCGAAGTAGAGCTACATTGTTTGTATTTTGTCGTTTTATGTAAAACAAAAAAATTTCCTCTTCTTTATAAAGTAATTTCTACTTCCTGTATCAACATGAAGTGGAAATATCTTTTCATTGCTAGCTGTCATTCAAAAATATAATTATTGGTCACGTCGGAGATTCGACTCTGAGAAAACTTGACCACAGAAATGTAGAGAAATAACTAAACGAAAACAGAGAGTACTAAAAAAAGATAAGATTAAAAAAGAAGATGTTTCTTTATTGATAGAAGCGATGAAAGGTTTTTACGAGCCCATAATTCACGGCAAACACATAAAACCTGTGAAGTATATAATTTAAAGTTGACACGTAATGTCTGAACGTGTCCGTAGTAACTAAAGTTTTTAATTAAATTAACTAGACCTTTGCTATATCATTTTTATCTTACAATAAATTAAATTCCCAGCCTTTTGGGTTTTATAATAAAAGCAATTTACTGTCCTTTTATTTAAGTACTCTGTATGAATAATTCAAACTTATTTTTTATTTAAACTCACGTTTCTTAGGTACATAATTTTATTTACAGTTATACATTGTACTCTATTATTATGTATTTCGTTCGTTCGTTCGTTTCAGCCAAATGACGTCCACTGCTGGACAAAGGCCTCCCCCTGTATTTATTAGGACATAATTATGTAAAGCTCTTTGCTTGTATTTTGTGTTTGTTCTAAATAAAATATGAATGTTAAAATTTACACACTTTGATATTATAACAACTTCTCTGAATTCTGGCATACTCGTACCTATCATAAATACATTTTGTTAATTTACGTAGGTACGCTATAAATGCACCATTCATTTGAATTAATAAAATTCCATTACATTCTCCACCTATTTGGAATATAAGCATTTGAATAGTGTAATACCTTCATGCTAATCAGGGCCAAATTATCAATGCATTTTGATGGGTCCGCTACTGGGCACCGGCCTGATTCGAATACCATAAACTTCGTATGATGGTATCTGTATAAAACAATTAAGAACAGTAGGCCGTCTTTGAATATGCACTTATGCGGGCAACTTCAGAGTATCCCTGGGGTCTA